TTTTTTTCCTTTCCCCCCCCCTCCCCCAAAACCTCCTTTTTCCCCCCCCCCCCCCCCCCCCCCCCTCTCACTCACATCACGTTTTGCCATTTAACTTAACCTTTGCGTTTACTTAATTCGTTCATTGTTCTTATCATCTTTACACTAACTTGTTTCTTTTGGCACTTCCGTGTCAAATTATGCCAAGCTTCTCTTATTAACTTTTGAAATACAACTAACTGTTTCTCTCTCTCTATCTCTTTATCATCTCTCTCTATCTCTCTCTTTGTATCTCATCGTTTCCCTTTTTTTCTCTTTTTAAGCCAAAATTGATTTCCATTTTTGTACATGGATGTCGTTTGCGACGGTACTATCAAAACTGTTTATGATCGACATTACTGAGACATGCTAACCTGACATTGCGAGAGTATCGAACGGCATCGAACTTTCAACATCTATTCTCTTCTCTTCAGTCCTCTCTCCTTTCTTCTTCTATTCTTTTGATAGTACTACATCTCCTCCTCTCTGTTATATGCTCCAACTTGTCTTCATTCCACTCTCGCTGACTTGTTGTACCTGCAAAGATATTTTGTAAACATTTTCATTTTACTAGACACTGTAAGGCCATAGGAAACTTAATTTTCTTCCACCCATATCTCTTCACATAAACTACGGAGAGGAAGTACTACGGGAATAGTACTTCAAATGTGGAGAGACAAAGATGGAGACAAAAAGGTGAGAAAGTCTTTGGGGTGGCTAGTAAAGAGCGTACTAACTGCAACTAGCAGAAGCTCATATATCGATAGCGTAGTGATTGATAGAGGCTGATTCTCCTAAAGTGCGAATGAACAGTTTACTGTTTTTAATAATTTCTGCGATCTTAGATATTAGAAAAGTTTAACAAAAACTTGCATGATGATTCATTAAATTCCTATTGTCTATTGTTTCTGACATCTTCTCGTCATCTACCTTCTCTCATCTCTTGCATATGCATTTCTCTCTCCATCTTAGTCATTTTCTATATTATTTCATCTATGACATCATAACTATATCAGTGGTCGCTCATTACGCCTTCACAATGTTATTACGAATAAGTCAAGTTCCTTCCTTACATTGAAAGGATGAACGTCAGGGTAATAGTGTTGGCATGACTTCTTGACATGATTAGGGAGCTCCATCGATCTTCTTTGTGACAATTTGAGCCGTTTTTTTCAATTTTTCGAGTTGCTTCTCCCGATAACGACAAGCTTAGTCTCCGATGTGCTATAATTACTCCGATATGAAAGGAGATTATAATATTTTTGAACTTTTCTTCAAAAGAATCAGATGCGTTCCTTGTCTTTAACGATTATCTAATTGATAATATCAAGTAGATGGTATGAACTGGTGGCATTTGAATCATTTCTGGCTATTTCCCAACATATCCTTCTAACAACCACGGCTTCTCTATGAAGAGTGGGGGGGAGTTTACAAAGGAAACATATATACGATTGCTTATCATATTGTCAAAGGTGTTTTTTTATCTCTTAGTGAACATATATTGACAGCAATTGTGTGTTGTCAAACAATGGCCAAGGTGTTTAGAGAGAGAGAGAGAAAGAGAGAGGGGGGTTTCACAAGTTAAGAGGAAGAGAATAAGAGAGAGAGAGGAATGAAATGACTAAAATGGTTTTGATGCGTTTTAAGGGTTTGAGATAGGTATATCACTGAAGAAGAGTCATCAAAGCTCTTTTTGCGTAGTTCTTGATGATGAATTGATAGGCATCATTAAAATGATTATACGTAGGTGTTAATGAATGAAAGTAAGGAAAAGTATGGCCAGCTGTAGATTATCCATGATTGAAAAGTGTGATGTAGCATCAGAAAATGCCTGATAACAGAAAATCATAATAGATAAGCGGTTGTAACGAATGGTGAATTGTTTGTTTCAATCGGAATGTATCCTTATATAATGGTTTGTTTATTATTTGTTTCTCTGTTTCTCCTCTCCCTCTTTACAACTCTGTCTAGTTTCCTCTTTCATAAACCTAATCTTCATATAAGCAGCTAGAGGAAGAGTATGAAGTCATTTGAGCTTAATACTGTTCACAGACGTTTGCGGTCATTCATTATCGAATGCTCACATATTTATTAACACAGCTAGAGAGAAAGGTGATAAAGTGTTAAATAAAGTGCTACCGGGCTCCGAACAATAATTTATAATTACATAACTATTCATATTATAGGATTCACGAGATCGAAATCGAGATAAACTGATGCTCATCCGAGATTCATTAAAGCCATTTGAACAACATGGGGTGAGTTGCGTTTTGAAGCCGATTAGTTTTGAGGCACAAAAGCCGTTTTTTATATTTTCCTTTCATAAGCTTATTTCATTTCTTTGCACAAAATATATTTTTTGATGCTTAAGATCATTGAAAAAACAATCGCCGATTGATGTTATGATTGATTTGATGTACCATTTACAGGCTGAAGCTTCAACCTCCGGCTCATATCTATCCTCAGCTGGTATTATGTCACATATTAATCCAACTCATTTATCACATGAACAACGCTCAATGATACTGTCGCTGGAACGACAAGGATATGATACGGTTAGTTGTTTCTTAATCCCTCTTAATCCATTTTCTTATATTTTTTGAATTTCGTATAGTAGTTATGAGATGATGAGTGGTGTACTCTAGTACCCAACGTCATCACACATTCCAATAGTTATTATAATAATTATCTTTATAACTTTAGCTATTTCATTATATGTTATAGCTTAGTAAAAGACCATTTTATCACGTAAAACGTCTTTGATTAGTCTTATTATTTGTAAAATGCACTATTTTATCAGTTTTATTTTTTATTATCTTCCATTGTTTTCAGGATGCCGCTCTGTGTGCATTGAAGCAAACAGGTTTTTGTAGTGTCGAGACTGCGCGTGATTATCTTATAAAGCTCAATGAAAATCATTCATCTCAGGTGAGTATATGATCATGTTTTTCTCTTTATCATTATTCATTTTATAGGAATCGCCCATTCCAATAGCTGACAGCACTGGATTGGTAGACATCTAGTTCATCAGTCATTATTATTAATTTTCATTTTTAAGCTGCATGTACATTCCAATGGTGTCTTAACAAATGGAAATTTGCATCTACCTGTTTATGGAAATCATTTAGATGAAAGGTATTCATTGTTAGAGATATATGTATTTATCAACATATAATTATTTAAGTGGATCTTCGAGGTCTACGTCACCTCAGCAACCACATTCGCAATCTCATGCACAATCTCATGCACTTATTTCACCTAGACGAAGTCGCCAAATCACACCAGTAGAGAAAGATTTCCATCGTACTCATATCCACATATCAAGGTATCATTTCATTTATCAATTTTGTTAATAATGTTATTTCCAATTTCAGTAATCCTTCATTTGTTCCATCGACTGCTAGTACAAGCAGAGCTAACTCTAATGTGGGTGATAGACCTAAGCCCACCATATACGTAGACAAAGCTGATAGGTATTTTGAAGTTGTTAATTGTTTGTGAAATATTTTTTTATCATTTCAGACCGATTCCATCTAGCAAACTCCATCCAGCGTATAGGGATTATGTAATGAGAAGGCCTGACAACGGAAACATCCAATCAAACATAGGGTCTTCCCAGGTACTTAAACTATAAAATCATTATTGATCTTTCCAAAATTGGTTTTTAAATGTTTTTGAGAGCTCAGAAACGCTTAATTCTTTTCATGGATCATCGAACGGTGTCCTAAGTTGAATCATCATGTGCTCTGATTTTTCAATTGTTATCTCGCGGTGACCCTGAACAGTTGCGCCGTATTCTTTACGCGTTTGCGCGTTCTTCTCTATAGTCCTCCAGCGCGCTTAAGAGTCTTGTCTCTTGTCGTAGTTTCAGTTTGTTTACTAAATAAACTTTTTCAGATAATGCTAGGAGCTCCAATTAACTCACCTCCATTTCTGAACAATCCTATAATTCGCACAACCTTTAATCAACCTTTCAACAATACTGTTAATATTAATGTTCGTCCAAGCGTTAACGTGAGTTTCAATCATTCTTCCTTGTTCACAAGTGTTGCTTAAGATTTCTGAAGGAAGAGTCTACAGGATGGATGTTAGCGGTAGAGATGGAAGTGGTTTATCATCTGTTCATGGTACATCGAATATGAAAACAACCGGCATACAGAATATCATCGTTGATCCCGATCAAAATAGATCCTACATTGGTTATGAAGATGAGGTTGGTTATTGCACAGTTTCACTTTTTTTGACTATTTTTCATTCAGCTCCGTCCATCAACATCATATGACCAGCCTAACCAAACCCCTTTAGCGTCTACCACAAGAATATCTACCGCTTATCCACAGTCTTACCATATTTCATCGCAAGGAACGTCTTCGCCTGTACGAGTTGTTCCGATGCAGAACGTACCTAGAATATCACCGAAACCTAAAAACATCGTCACGCCAATCAGATCAACATCTCCGTTACCCCATTCCATATCTAAAAGAGTGATAGAAGGCAAATATGAAATGTAAGATTTCTCATTTCGTTAGAAGTTCCTAATCAAGAACTTTTCAGGACTATAAAACCTTGCCAACCGCGTATGTATTGCTTCTTTATGGAACAACATGTAGAAAGAATGATTCAACAACATCGCGAAAGAGATAAGCGAACTTTCCAAGTTTGTATTACAAGTGTACAGCCTATTCATTTGTTCTTTTCAGTTACGCCGTGAAATGGAAGCAGCAAATCTGGCAGAGAAAATGAAAAGCAATATGTTAGAATTTCTACAGCAGAAAGAATCAAAGTATGTTACTCTCCCGCAGCCATGTACCATTCTGTGTTCTTCAGATATATGCGCTTAAGAAGGCAAAAAATGGATGTATCCATGTTTGATATGATTAGGCACATTGGAGTTGGAGCTTTTGGTCGCGTATCACTTGTTCGAAAGGTAACAAGATAATTGCGCTCAATTTCTAAACGATTGTTTCAGAAAGACACTGGTCAAGTGTACGCTATGAAGAGTTTATTGAAGAACGATGTTATTATCAAGCAACAGGTTTGCAATCTTAAGCGTACCTCATACAATCACATTATTCAAGGCTGCACATGTGAAAGCTGAAAGAGATATTCTTGCTGAAGCTGATTCACTCTGGATCGTTAAATTATTCTTTTCTTTCCAAGATGATCGCTGTTTGTACTTCGTGATGGAGTATGTTCCTGGAGGTGATATGATGCAGTTACTCATTAACAAAGGCATTTTCGAAGAGAAGCTAGCAAGGTATTTGATCTTTCTGTGTCCTCCCTTCACACTTTCTATTAAGGTTCTATATTGCGGAATTAACGAAAGCCATCGAATATGTTCACTCTTTGGGTTTCATTCATCGCGATATTAAGCCAGATAACATTCTTATCGATCAACAAGGGCATGTCAAACTTACTGATTTTGGGCTCTGCACTGGCTTGAGGTGGACACACGATAAACGGTTAGAACATGTTTATAGTAATACTTCTAACCATTACTTCTAGATTATATGGACCTGAGAATGATACTACTCCAGGTGATCATACTCATCATCGACGCGACGACTCGTTTTCACTTCCACCAGATGTAGCTGGCTTAGAATCAAGAATGAAGGTATTATCACGTTTGTCAGTTTGATTCATTGCTTATTTTGATTAGGTCTTGCATGTTCGTCATCAAAGAAAGAGAGACCAAGCTCATTCAGTTGTTGGTACAGGAAACTACATGGCTCCAGAGGTTTTAATGAGAACAGGTGTGCCAATCTTTTTTTTTATTACGTTCTTTTCTAATTCCGTTGTGTGTGTTTTGTGATCCTTTATATAACGATCAGTGTAAGCGCTCAAAATTCCACTGAAACCGTTTTGTGGCACGGGGAGTATTTGTTACTTCTTAAATCTCAGTCCCATAAGTATTAGCCTTTCTCTCATCTTGAAAAACTGACGAACACATACTTTTTTGAATTTGCAAAATTAGTTCCACCTCACTGTTTTCGAGACGCACCGAACGATTGCATTTCTCTAGCACGCCAATTCTCGCAGAACGGTTGCATCTTTTCAATATCTCAGAACCCATAGAACGGTTGCATTTCTTCAATATCTTAGAACCCACAGAACGGTTGCATCTCATTAAGATCTCAGAACCCACAGAACGGTTGCATCTGTTCCATTTCGCATAACATAGAGAACGGTTGCACTTAAACTCATTCATTATACTTCCGCCTATCTATGCAATGTGATATATGATGAACTGACTTTTTGATTTTTCAGGACATACTCAGTTATGCGATTGGTGGTCCGTGGGTGTAATCTTATATGAAATGGTGTTCGGAAGACCTCCGTTCATGTCGATGATTGATGATCCGAAGGAAACACAACAAAAGGTTCATAGTGTATAATAATGTGATTACCATGCTATCTTCAGATTATCAACTGGAAGTATTTTCTTGATGTTTCACCTCGAGCCGGTGGTGGGCATCTGTCTGGAGAATGCATATCTATAATACAGGGATTGTGCCAGGATAAGAGAGATCGTTTAGGTTCTAAGAATGGTGCCAAACAAGTGATGGAGCATCCCTGGTTTAGGGTATCGAAACTGTATAGTGCGTTGTTCTCATTCTTTGTTTTACAGGGGATCGACTTTGAAAACTTGCGAAACACAAAAGCAGAATATATTCCTAGGGTTGAATACCCCGAGGATACTCAGAACTTCGAGCCGATACAGGTCGTAACCAATATAAGAATTCCTTTTAAATGAGATAATTTCCAGATCGAGGAATCACCTTTCGAGACTCTGGGAAAACGTGCACCGAATAATCCTGCTTTCTATGAATTCACTTTCCGTCACTTCTTTGACACAGATGGACAAGGGTATGCTGAATGTGTTATATTGATATAATAATAATGATTTCTTTTAGATGTCCCTCATTACGTCCAACGCAGAAAAGGCCTGCTTTAACACCTTTAATAGAAGCTGCTTCTCGTCACGAACCAAATAGCAGCAATGAATCAATGGCTACATGATGAGACGTGCCTCCCAATAAGCTTATATTTACCATAATGTGTTTGACACACCATGTATGCCATGTCTCATACATATTCGTCAATATCTTTCAATTTCTATTAACACTACTACTGTTATAAGTGATCTCTTGTTTATTGTCTTCATTCCATATACTTGGTCGTTAAGACTTAGTTCCTTTTTTTTATTAGTTTACTATCATATGATGTAGACATCAGCATAATGATTATTTAGAGCTCTATTATGAACAATAATTAAAATGTGACATTTTTGAAAATTGTAGGCGCGAGTCATTTTGTTGATGCATTTCGGGTATATCAGACGTGGTAATTAACGTGATGATATGTAGGTTAACTATGCCTTATATATTATCTCTCTAATCGTCTGTTTATTAAGTTTTTTGTTTGAAAATTTGTTAGAAAGAATAGTTGTAAACATAAAATTGTTTTATTGATAGTACTAAATATACAAGACTTATATGAGTTTTTTGAATTTATATTGTCTCTTTCGACATTGACAGTGTCACAATACGCAATGGCAGAGTGTATTGAATGGTTGTGCCAGTCCCTACATATCATTTGTATATATTAAGATCTCAGTTTCAAGTGTAAGAAGTAGAAGAAGATGAAGATGAAGATGAAGAAGGGATAATTAGACTTTAATGGACAGGTACAACAACATGCTTAATGAGAGATACATTTTGATTTGCAGTAAACATATTGTTATTGTTGGTATACATGCTGCATGTGTATGTATGCCAATAACAAATTGCTGGAATATAATGATAGCTTAAGCTGAAGCTAAGGATCAAATTGTATAGAAAATACTTTGGTTTCAATTTATTAAAAACATGAAAAGCTTGGACTGCTTTTATACGCAGATGAAGGATTTTGGATTTGGGCTTAACATATACTAATGGATTGAATGGATATGTGAAGTAATCATAGTAGATTCAGACATATCAAGCACAAGCTTCGAATATTTTAGAGAATAGGACAAAGAAGAGAAGCTGATTGAGCAGCATACGACACATGTAGCGAATAAGTTGTTCGGATGATCCTCATATAGGCTTTATCATACGTTGCCATAGTGATTTCAGCACATCTGCTTCTCTCATCATGCTCATTCTCTTCCTTCCTCTCTCTCTCTCCTTTGGGCATGTTGTTGCACGTCCTTCCCTGGTTAGTTGAACATATGAGCTTCTCTCTCTCATATTGAAACTTCTTTATATTGTCCTCCTTATTTCAGCCTCCATTCAATCATGTTGTCAGTAATTTAATTATCTCTTTAGCCTTATGTCTGAAATAACTGAGGAGAAGGTTTTGCAATATTTGAAAAGCAATCCGAACGTTTTGGAAGCTTATGTGACGAGCAGTCAAATAAGTCGGGAAACATTCCAAAAATGGACTGCTCGACGACATTCAAAGCTTCAAAAGGAATCGTCACGGAAATCGCTTGTCGGATTCTGGGGTGTAAGTACATTGATTTAACTGATTCATAATTCAGATTCATCGTTTGCAAACTTTTTGAATCAAGCTCAAGCTTCTTAGTATGAAAGCTGTGTTGCACTTGCAAACGTATGAATGTATGGATTGAAATATCAGGCTTCTTTCTGTTTTTTATTTCTTGAACTGAATTTATAGGCCGATGATCTTGCCTCTCGTCGACGTCTTATTATGGATCAGGGCGATCAAAAGGTATTCCTATACTATGACTGATACATACTTAGTTCCTTCTTTTTCCAATCAGTTTAAAGTAATGATGTTGGTTATTACTGTCTTCAGATAAGGCTTCTCTTCGAACTTGGAGAATGTTGTGCTCAGATGACTGCCACTGACGCTGTCGAGTTGACAATCACAAACGATGAAGGTTGTTTTAACATATACAAAACTTCGGAAGGATTAATCAAACTCAAGAAAGTTAGTCAATGTTCTCATGCCTTATATGGGAATTCTGATATTTTTTCTTATTTGCATCGTTTGACAGACTAAGAAAGGAAAAAAACCTGCAGCCTACATCCAAATGTTGGTCGATCCATCTGAAAAGACAATCGGTTTGCAAGACAAATAGTATTATCTTCTGAATGTTACATGCTAGGCGAAGTTCAGTTCTTCATGCCACTCACGGATAAGGATAAGCAGATTGTCAATGTTATATGTACATGGGCAATGGGTTGTGTTTACTATGCTCAGGCAAGTTTATCGTCGAAGGATGATGACGAAACTACTTCAGAGGTTAAGATTATTCATATTTCTGATGACACACAGTTCTCCAATTTACTAACCTTAGAGTAGTTCAATATCCTGTCCTCGTTCATACTATATACGCTAACACAGACTCTGAATACATTCAGATTTCAAATAATGAAGAAGAAGCTCCTCGTGTTGTTCGTCAACGGAAACTGAACACCTTCCTTCTGGATGTGACTCGGAGCATTTTTCAAGATATTGTTTCGATGGATACAGTCATCATCAAAGTTATGGTATCTCTCTATTCACTTTCACTTGGCATGACATCTTTCTCATTAAGAATTTTGCACAAAAACTTGTCAATGCTGATCGGGCTTCCCTCTTCCTGGTTGATGCTAAGACAAAGGAACTCTATGCTCGCATTTTCGATGTCGGAACAGGACAGGACGAACACGTACGAATTGATCGTGAAGGCAAAAAGGAAATTCGGTTACTTCCTCTCTCTCCAAATGAATTATCATTCATTATTTCAATTTTATAGTTTTCCAATTACGAAAGGAATCGCTGGCTATGTTGCTTGTACAGGAGAAGGATTGAATATAACCAATGCTTATGATGATCAACGTTTCAACAAGGATGTTGATTCGAAGACTGGCTATACAACTCGAACCATTTTATGTATGCCCATATTCATTCGAGGAATGTAAGTTCATCCTTCAGTAACGTTCCCTGTCACACTATAGTTCATTGTAGTGTCATCGGAGTTGTTCAAATGGTTAACAAGCAGAGTGGCAACTTTACGAAAGACGATGAAGATGCTTTCCAAGTCTTCGCCGTCTACTGTGGATTAGCCCTTCATCATGCAAAATTGTACGACAAAATCCGTCGCAGTGAACAAGTGAACTAATCTGTCTAATATGGTTTTTTATATAATCTAATCGTTAAGAAATACCGTGTAGCATTGGAAGTCTTGGCTTATCATAGTGTCTGTAATCGGGACGAAGTTGCCAAATTGAAAAAAATTCAACTGAAAGAGAGAGTACAAGAGTTGGAAACATTCGACTTCAATGGAATGAAGCTGTCTGAGTTAGAAAAACCTCTGTACGCTGTCTACATGTTCAAAACACTCTTCCACGGTGACATGTAAGTGAAGAAGTGGATGGAGTAGTAAACCAAAGCTTCTCAAATCTTCAGACGGTTCGATCAGGATGATCTCACTCGTTTCGTTCTGACAGTTCGGAAAAACTATCGTCGAGTTGCTTACCATAACTGGGCTCATGGTTGGTCGGTAGCTCATGCTATGTTTGTCCTCTTGTTCAGTAATAACCAAATTTTCCGACCACACGAGGTTATATTACTATGGTGGAACTAATTCCAAAGAATTCTTATAGGCTTTGGCATTATACGTGGCTTGCTTATGCCATGATCTAGATCATAGAGGAAAGAATAATGCTTACATGAAAACAATGAGCACTCCTCTGGCTGCCATTTACACAACATCTGTTATGGAACATCATCATTTCAATCAAACTGTAACTATCTTACAGCAGGTAAGAAGTCAGGATTGTTCTAGGACATGTTATGTTTCAGGATGGCCATAATATTTTGAAGTCACTCTCATCTGAAGAGTATAAGCAAGCCCTTAGCCTTATCAAACATTGCATTCTTGCAACAGACCTGGCTCTCTTTTTCTCAAACAAAGCTGAACTGAATAATATCCTGGACGAAGGAAAGTATGATATCAACGATGAGCATCATAGGTAATCCACTTGGAAGACATCACTTCAGTTCTGATTACAGAAAACTTACTCAAGCTATTCTCATGACTGGTTGCGATTTAATCGCTTCTGCCAAACCGTGGCAAATCCAAACAGAAACTGTCAAAGTTATCTTCGAAGAGTTTTATGAACAAGTTAGTTCCTATCAGAAGCATTTAGTACTTTCTTCGTTCAGGGAGATGCCGAAAGAAACAATGGTCGTGTTCCTATTGCCATGATGGACCGTCAAAAAGCTCATGAACTTCCTCAGATGCAGGTTTCTTTAATTCTGCTGTATAGGTTTTAATGCTAGATCTGCAGGTTGGATTCATGAGAGGTATATGCTTGCCTTGCTATGAGCTGATTGCTCGAATTATACCTGAAGCATCCGGATTACGAGACCGCTGCAGGTACTGGCAGTTCCTCTGAATTGTATTTTGCAAATTACAATTTCCAGATATAATGCAGAGAAATGGGAAGAACTTGCGGAAGATCAAAGAAAGCGAGAAGAAGAGAAAGCTAAAGAGACACCAGCAGAGCAGTGAAACCTGAAAGAACAGCTGGGAAAGCTTAGCTATACCATAACCATATTTCGCGAAGAACTTATTCATATATTTTATTTTGTTTATATAAAAGGTAGAATTTTGAATGTTTTCGTGTTCCTGAGCTCAACTAGCACAGATTTTCAATATGTTCAGAGCATCCTCTAAGTATCTCTACCCTTCGCTACAACTACGACCTCTTCCCTCAGAATATAATTATTCCGTGAAAGGAATAACAGGTTTATGCAAAAAACTCAAATAAGGAAGAAAATTGCATAAAAATCTAGTGCAGACTTCGACAAACTGAACTTTGTGATTGCACTATCTGTAGTATGCTGCTGATGATTGATCCGTTGTGACGTGATGTTATGCCTCTTTGAAAGGTGACAAATACATTATAATGCACTTTTTGGAAATATAAGATTATCGATTGTTTATTTGTGAAATCGTTTAAACTTTTTCTGTGAAATCTTAATTCGTATTCAACCAGCACGACCGCTCACTTCTGTTTTGTAAACCAAAATGAAAGTTCTTCCGTTTCTATTTCCTCGATTGCATCTTTGAGTGAGCGGTGAAGCTTTTCGTCATTCCCCAATTTATTGAGTTTTGAATTTACTTCGTAGATGTTATACCTATTTGATCACCTGATTCCATTTGCTCGCGCTGTTTTCTAGTTGCATGAATGCCTTCAGCTGTACTGTCGTTTGTGGTGACGATATCCTATCGTCTAGTGTCCACATCTCAATCCATGTACGTTTTGTAGATTACCGCTGTCTTCAGCAATCTCTTCGACTGTCTGTTTTGATCATGCTTTCTGATGTTTTCAAATGTTTTTCGATTTCCAATTCTTGTGTGTTTGAAGTCTTGTTAAGGTGGTGAGACGGTAGGTATATCATCATGAAGCATTCTTTCAGGGATAGAAGACTTAGTCTTTTCGATAAATGTCTTGTTTGAGACAGTTCTTCTTATCCTTCCATTGAGTAGATTAGCACTGAGTGATCTCTTAGTATCTTCATAATGCTGCTAGCTGTTTTCTATATGATAGAGCATGTCGTCTTTCCGTATTCTATATATTCTCTGTCTGGGTTGTTTCTCAAATAATTTTTATGGATCACCCCTAGCTTTCTTGAATCATGTTTGACTTTTTCAGCGGATAGGTTCTTGATGCAGATAAGAAGAGAAGCGTGCAGAGAGCAGTTTGAACCTGGAGTCACTTTCTGTTATCATTGAAAGATGAGGAGTCGACGTTTGTTCTTTTAGTGGTTCCGTTTGATATGTGTACTGAGTATACTTACTATAAGGTAACGCCAGCGACCTTCAATGTTTGTTAATTTTGGTTTTTTAGAGACAACTATTGGAAGGCTATGACTGGTGCGTGGAAGTTCCGGGACTTGTTGGTTTGTCGTACGTCTTACGCTCTTTTCCTCTAACTGATCGTTGTCGTTTCAGTGGATTCAGATATATTCATTGCTTCCTAGTCCTGTTATAAACTCTTCGAGTGCATGAGTAGCAGGTCTATTGTGTGTTAAGCTGAACGTTCGCTCAGTTCAGGTTCACGAGCAGGAGAACACAGTGGGATAGAGGAGGACGAAGACATCGACGACGGGTTCGAGGATCTGCTCAGATCAGGGGACTTGGGAGTAGTTTACACAGTTCAGTTTCACGAGCAGGAGAACACTGTGGGATAGAGGAGGACGAGGACAAGGACGTCGACGACAAGTACGAGGATCTGCTCAGATCAGGGGACTTGAGAATTTATCGTACGTCTTGTTGCTCTCTTCCTCTTATTAATCGTTATCATTTCAGTAGATTCAGATGTGTTCACTGCGTCCTTGTCGTGTTAGAAGCTCCTCATGTGGATGAGTAGCCGGTCTGATTGAGTGTTAAGCTGAACGTAGTTTGCTCAGTTCAGGTTCACGAGCAGGAGAACACTGTGGGATAGAGGAGGACGAGGACGTCGACGAAAAGTGCGAGGATCTGTTCAGATCAGGGGACTTGGGAGTTCATCGTACGTCTTGTTGCTCTCTTCCTCTTGTTAATCGTTATCATTTCAGTAGATTCAGGTCTGTTCACTGCTTCCTTGTCCTGATAGGAGCACTTCAAGTGAATGAGTAGCAGGTAAGAATGAGAATTGAGACTGAGTTTATAGCATTTTTTAAGATTTACAAATGGAGTGTTATCTGCTCCTGTTTGATGGAGGATAAGATCAACGACGATGGAGGACAAGGATACCCCTTTCCCAACCCTCCCAGTGCTACCG